GATTTTGAAAAGCAGCAGAAAATTTTGAAGTGATTTCTATTTTCATCTGAACTGAGAACTTTGGCCTGCTGTAAAGCAGTGTGGATACTTGCTTGCAACAAAAAGCCATTTTCAGATAGAGAAATGGTGAAGGAAATTATTCTCTCTGTCATGGAAAACTTGCTTGTAAATCTTAACGGACAGCCATGAAATAACATCTTGCAGAGCATTTGAAATTTGCAGCTGAGTCACCAAATAGTTACATGTCAGTTAAAAGATTGGTCTGTTGATCTCAGAACCCAGTTGCATGCTGAACTGGATCAGTGTTTGGCCTACTCGTTGGTACTGGATGAGTCATGTGACATCAGTGATACTGTTCAGCTCGTCTTCAGGATTTGCTTTGTAATGAAAAATTTACAGATTCATGAAGAACTGTTATCAGTGTGAGGGTTGAGAGATTGTACTTGTGTATTTGATATATTCAATACTTTCAAAATTGTCTCAAATGATTTTGACTTGGATTTAGCAAAATTGGCTTCTGTTATAGTTGACAGTGTGCCAATTATGGGGGCGGGGAGAGATCTGGATTCATCTCTCTTCTGAAGAGCACCTGCAATCTAATAAAATGAACAGCAAATTGCTTTCCTGACACTGTGTTTTGCATCAAGAAAATCTGTGTACTTACATGTCCACAACAGATACTTTGAAAGACTTAATGAATACTGTGATCAAAATCTTAAATTTAATTCGCAGCAGTGCTCTGCACCATCACCAATTTGTGGAATTTTAGAAAGAAAGCAAACCTGAGCATTTGAAATCCATCTATTTTGCCAGTGTGTGATGGCTGAGTCCTGGAAAGGTGCTTGAGCGGTTGCTTGCACTGCTTACTCCAATCAGAGACCAAGATGAACAAGTTTTCTCCCTCCTCCTTATGAAACCCTTTTAGATACCTGAAAATGGCTATCATGTCCCCCTCAGTCTTCTCTTTTCTAAACTAAACAAACCCAATTCTTTCAGCCTTCCTTCATAGGTCATGTTCTCTAGACCTTTAATCATTCTTGTTGCTCTTCTCTGGACCCTCTCCAATTTCTCCACATCTTTCTTGAAATGCAGTGCCCAGAACTGGACACAATACTCCAACTGAGGCCTAACCAGCACAGAGTAGAGCTGAAGAATGACTTCTCGTGACTTACTCTCCACACACCTGTTAATACATCCCAGAATCATGTTTGCTTTCTTTGCAACAGCATCACACTGCTGACGGATATCATTTTCTCCTGCAGCCAGCTGAATCCTGCCTCCTCTGCTCTCAGTCCCCCCCCAAAACAGCCCCCACTCTCCCAGCAGAGCCTCCAATATCCCCAGCAACAGCCCCTCTCCAGTCCCTTGTCTTTCCAGGTAAAAGGGTTGCCTGGCCCCTCTCTTCTCCGCCTCCTCTCCTCCGTCTAATGTTCTCCCCTCTCTGGGACCACCTGGGCCAGTCGCCAGGTTCTCCCCTCTGCTGCCCATTGCCTGTCGTCTGGACAGAACTGGTTGTGTCCTCTGAGCAGAGCTGGGGTCACCAGACACAGTGGCTCCAATTCTGGGCTGTTCTCTGAAGCAACAAACTCCCCACCATTGTCACATGAAACCAGTAACATCCCAGCACTGAGTGCCTCCCATATGTAACCACTCTTTGGACCCCCAAAACTCCCTACTTCCTCACAGTCCCATTGATTGAATTTCTGCGAAATGTGATTTCTGTTGATTAAAACCAATGTTGAAGTGTTCTGTTGACATTAAAAGCCAAGAATTGGTATGTTCGGAGAGTGTCACAAAATTATTTAAATTTTCAGAATAATATGGCTAATTCACTATAGCCATTATAGGGGCTACTGCTTCAGAACTGGTTGAACACCATGGCTGTGTCTAGACTGGCCAGTTTTTCTAGAAAATCAGCCACTTTTCCAGAAAAACTTGCCAGCTGTCTACACTGGCCGCTTGAATTTCCGCAAAAGCACTGACGATCTCACGTAAGATTGTTAGTGTTCTTTCGGAAATACTATGCTGCTCCCGTTCGGGCAAAAGTCCTTTTGTGCAAAACTTTTGCACAAAAGGGCCAGTGTAGATAACCCAGATTTGTTTTCCGCAAAAAAGCCCCGATCGCGAAAATGGCGATCGGGGCTTTTTTGCGGAAAGGTGCGTCTAGATTGGCACAGATGCTTTTCCGCAAAAAGTGCTTTTGCGGAAAAGCGTCCATGCCAATCTAGACGCTCTGTTCCGCAAATGCTTTTAACGGAAAAACTTTTCCGTTAAAAGCATTTCTGGAAAATCATGCCAGTCTAGACGTAGCCCATGGGCCTAAGCCTTCCTCCTTAGGGGGAGATGCATAAGAGAAATGGGAATTTTCTGGCCTAAAAATAGCAGCTTTTACTGCAGGAAGACCTGTTTAAACAGATGTCTTGTTCTGCACTCTGATAGTGGCAGAAAATCTCTTCATAATATTTTGTAAAAGGGAGAGCTGCATCTGGTTGCAATTTAGTTCCTTATTTTCAAGCTCATGCTGGCTTCATCTTCTGTGTTATTGTGCTTAGTTCTTGTTCACATTGTAAATACATAATTAGCAGTCCCTGCTTCTTTACCTGATTTATGTTGTTTGAGGGCTTGGAAAAGTGGAAAAATTGAAACATTTTTGTGATTTTTTTTTTCTAAAGAGAGCATTTGTAAGTTGCTTAGAGGTTTGGAATGTTAGTATGCATGGAAATTAATTCATGCACATAGTTCAAGCGTAGCAGCGAGAGGAATAGTGACAAAAGATATTTTGGCCTTGGAAAGGGTGCAGAAAAGGGCAACTAAACTGATTAGGGGTTTGGAACGGGTCCCAAGAGGCTAAAGCGACTGGGAATTTTTAAGTTTAGAAAAGAGGAGACTGAGGGGGGATATGATAGAGATATATAAAATCATGAGTTGTGTGGAGAGGGTGAATAAAGAAAAGTTATTTATTAGTTCCCATAATAGAAGAACTAGAGGACACGAAATGAAATTAATGGGTAGCAGGTTTAAAACTAATAAAAGAAAGTTCTTCTTCACACAGCACATAGTCAACTTGTGGAACTCCTTGCCAGAGGAGGTTGTGAAGGCTAGGACTATAACAGAGTTTAAAGAGACGCTAGATAATTTCATGGAGGTTAAGTCCATAAAAGGCTATTAGCCAGGGGATAGAAATGGTGTCCCCCGGCCTCTGTTTGTCAGAGGCTGGAGAAGGATGGCAGGAGACAAATCGCTTGATCATTGTCTTTGGTCCACCCTCTTTGGGGCACCTGGCATTGGCCACTGTTGGCAGACAGGCTACTGGGCTAGATGGACCTTTGATCTGACCCAGTATAGCCGTTCTTATGTTCTTATTAA